CTGTCTATTGATAAGTGCAGTCCATAGGCCAGCAGCATCAGCATCTTCTGGAAGTTTGTTAGAAGAGCAGAATCTCAGGCTCCATTTCAGACCTACAGAACTTTAACAAAATGATTCATATGCACAATAAAGTTTGAGAAGCAATAATAGAGGTTTTAAATTTTTACTACAGTCAGATATTATAATATTTTCTTTTATGATTCCTTTGCTAATTTCTCATATCTCCAATAAGTGTTAGATGTCTTCTTTTCTCTAGCTACACTTTCTGCCTAGGTGATCTCAACCAATCTTGCATTTTTATATGCCAACTACAAGCTAATGAAGTCCAAATTTTAAAATCCAGCTCTGTCCTTTCCACTCAATTCCAGATTCCCAAATGCCTACCAAATATCTCTACAAGGGTAACTTATAATAGGCATCTCAAATTTAATATGTTCGAAGACTAACTTCTGATCTCCCTCCACCAACCCCACAAAACTTGTTTTTCCTATGGTCTCTTCATATCAGAAAATGACAAACTCCATTCTTTGAGTTGCTCAAACCAAATACTTTAGCATCATTCTTGACTCTCATTTTTCTCATACCTGACATCCAATCCATCTCCAAAGCGAAATATATGTAGATATATTCATTTACTGCCCTGGCTAAGCCACCATCATTTCTCTCTTAGTTATTGCAATAGTCTCTGAAGTGGTCTATCCTGTTTCCTGTCTAGAATGGCACAGTAGCTGGAGTAATCTTTAAGAACCATCACTGCAGATCACATGTCATTCTTTTGCTCAAAACCTTCCAATGGCTTCTCAAGTAAAAATCATCAGATCATGACCTGGCCTCTGATACTTATTTATCCTCATCTCTGTTCTCCCTCTCACTCACTCCTCTCCAATCACACTTGGCCTAACTGACCATGCCAAGTATACTCCAATTGCAGGATTTTTGCATTTACTATTCCTTCCATCAGAAATGCGGTATTCCCCTAAGATTTTCACAAGGTTTGCTACCTTACCAAGTTCATTCATCTTTGTATTCCAATGTCACCTTATCAATGAAGTATTCTCCGACCATCTCATTTAGAATGACTACCACCCCTCTGTCCCTCCAAATCCTCACAAGCACACAGAGGCAGTTTCTATACCCGTTGCTAACTTTATTTGTTCCATAGCACATGTGACCCACCTTACTATGTATATTTTACTTGTTTATTTTGTTATTAGCATGTGTCTTCCCCACTCCCCAATAGAATAACGTGAAAGAGGATATAGATTTTTGTCTTGTTTTATATATCCCCAGAGCCTAGACCAGTGCCTAGCATACAGTAAGCACTCAAATACATATTTGTTGATAAAAATGAATACTTTCTTTAGATCATCCCTCTATGATGATTTCACTGACCATCCAGACATAACTGCTTCATAAGTTAGAATTTGATATCTTAAAGTTGATTATATTTTCCATGTCTATTAGCTACTTTAAGAGCAGAAACATGTTTTATTAATTTTTTTGTCCCCTCATCACTTATCTTGGTGTCTTAGTCATAAGAGGTATTCAATTAAAGCTGAAGATCTAAGCTGTTTTCAGAATAGGGTAAGAGGGGGAAAACAGTAATTCTAGTTTAGTGATTCTTTCCTTTGTCCAGTAAATTCAGGACTCTCTTACCCACACCCTTTTTT